TTGTGCATGCTTGGTACAGTGTTGTGTAAAAGATTGCTATCCTCTGAAGTGACTTGCTTCCCAAGATCAACAAAGGTAGAGTCCTTACTGCAGAACTGTGGATCAGTGACTCTGGACCAAGAGTTCTGCCACTTGCAGAATGTAGTACTCAGGTCTTCAGTCATGTACTCTAGCTTAGTGTTTTTAGAGTGTGCAAAGAGTGCAGCACCTCTAAAGCGACTAAACAGGGGATTTCCAGCAATGCTGTCTTGAATACAGGTCCAGATTTGGTGTAGATGTTGTGGCTGTAGAGCATACTTGAGAAGCTGTTCTCTTGAGGAGCTCTTCTTTGCAAAAGTCTTAGCTGACAGCACAGTAGCGTCTAGACGTGCAACCTCAGCAGACACAGGGTAGTGCTGCAGAACATTGGAATCTGCTACACTTTTCTGGATAGCTGGCATAAGCACAGAGTCATACCAAAGCTTGAAGTCTTCATTGCTAAGGAAAGTACTGTGCTCATTACCACTTCCAAGATGTAGCTCTGGAAAGAAGATGTAGATCTGAACTGACTCTATGCCAATGGCTGTTCCAAAATAGTAATGTGGAATCTTATGGAGTGGCTGATCTGTCTGACATAGCTCTCCCTTTGGGTTATATGTTGGGACCTTGAGACTGAAGTGGATGTTGTGGCTCAGGTTGAGCACAGTGCTTGCATTAGGTAGCCAGTGAATGCCTTGACGAGCAAAGCCAAGGCTGCTAGGAAAGCAGCAGAGGCTGTCAATGTCAAATGTGGTCTTAGGAACACAGGCTGTGGTGCTGCTTTGATAGTATTTGGACATGCAGAGGCTTAATGGCAGCTTCTCATTGCGTGTCCCAATGTCTTTAGGCAAGGCTATAGGACTTGTGCCTTCAAAGGCACCCTGACAGTCAATGCTATCTGCTAAGCCTTCTGCCCTCTTGAAACAAGGATTGCTCAGGACATCTGGAAGAGGAGTCCCATTGTTGTAGTCTCCACATAGCAGCCTAGTGATTGACTCAAATGAGGCACACTCAGAGTGAACATCATCTCTTTGGTGGTGTCTGTTGTGTGCCTGCTCTTGCTCTGCATGGTCTTGGTGGGTACATCTATGGAAGTTGTGAAGTTGCTTTGTAAGTTTAGAAGCAGTGCTCTCAACTGGCTCTGTCTGGGTTGTTGTGTCAGTGGAAGAGTGATGTTCTGGCTGAGTTACACTACCAACAGAAGGCTGATTGCCTAACTGAGGTGTTCTACTGATAGAGTGTGGGTGTGCTTGCTGAGGTGTCCTTGGAGTAGCAGAGGATATGCTTGTAGACCTTGGCTGGAAGTAACTCAAGAGTGTATTGCTCTGGGTAGGAAATGGGCTTTTGTGTTTCTTGCTTGCAGTACTTGAAGGTAGTGAGGCACTTGATGCTCCTTGACTTGGGGACAGCTGCTGTTCTGAGGTTTGTATAGGTGTAGCAGGGTCTTGTAAGCTGGGAGGGCTATTGTTGTTCTCTTGGCCTATATCCTCTGTTTGAGCAAGTGCCACTGTGGTTGAGGAGTGCTGTGTGTGTCTGTTTCTTCTTTCTTCTTCAGAGACTTTTTCCTGAGCAGTAGTCCAGTGATTGGCCGCTCCTGTACCATTACCAGTAAAAACACCTCTCTCTTCTCCATCTTGTTGTGGTGTCTGCCTATTATTTGCTTGCTGATACAGCCCTTCTGCTTCTTGAGGTATTGTATCTGCAGCTGTAACAGGGTGTTCTCCACTTCTCTGTAGACTGATCAATGCCTCTGCTGCTCTTGTATCCATTTCCTGCATGCACTGTGCTATAGCAGCATTATGCTCTTCTACAGTACTAGTGGCTTAGTTTGGTCCCACCTTGGTTATCAGCATCACCAAGCGCTTTGCACCCCATCTTCAACCAGCTCTAGCACCATTAAACCATGACCAATTTAGATGATATATAGCTCAATTTACTCAAACAGTGTCAATATCTAGTCTGGTAACCATGTGCTTTTTCTATTGCAGCTAAACGCTGTGGCATGCTGTAAATAACATTGCGGATCAGGCTATCAGGGATGGACAACCATGCCTCCTTCAAAGCCTCACAGAACTGATTCCATTGCTCTTGGCCACCTCCTAGTATATCAAACTCAGGATAGGCTTGGTGCATGGCTTGTTTCAATGCCCACCAGAGGTGCTCGATAGGGTTAAGGTCTGGAGAATGTGGTGGATGCTCAAGAGTCCAAATACCATGACACTCAAGATACAGCTTGGTTGCTTTAGCAGTATGAACACCTGAGTTATCCTGCAAAAATTGCTCTCCTGGTTGGTAATTTGGTAAGAGACCTTTGTCCAATGCTTCTTGGTAAGACCAGCTTGTATATCCATGTCTTGGTGCAGTATTGTCCCGTCTCATGATCACTAGGGGTGACCGGCCAACTCGACCACTTGGAGTTACCCATATTGCTGCCCATACCATCTGACGCTTGCCACAATCAGTTGTTGTTTCTGTGACTTTGTCATGATCATATTTCTCATCAAGATGACCAAAGCTCCACTCAGGATTCCTCCCAGACCCTCGTTGTACACTGCACTCATCACTGAACTTGACAGTGGTCCTTTTCCAATTAAATGTACGTCCCTCTCTTGCATACCGGAGACGCTCTGCAGCTGTAGCAGCATTGATCTTTGGTCGGCGTTTAGCTCTGAACTTGTGGATATCAAATTCTTTCAAAGCTTTCTTCATGGTTGTAGTGGAAACAGTAGGTTGGTTGGTGTCGGTATTCCACCATCCCAGCTCTTGTTGCATCTGCCTGTATTCAATTTTAGGCTGCTGTCTAGCCAAGCAAAAAAGATAGCGCTTTTCTCGACAGGATAGCTTAGGTGGCTGGCCAGGTCTTGGTCGGGACTGATTTGATCCTGTGGACTGAAATCGCTTGATGGTCCTGTTGATTGTACGCTTGGAACACCTGAACTCTGCTGCCAACTCTTGGCTTGAAGCGCCTGCTTCATGTTTGGAAATAATACTATCCCTCTGGCAGACTGAAAGTTCAGCCCCTGCAATGCGATTTGCTGAAATCTGCGCCCCAAATGAGCTCATTTTGTTGTGGTGGTGGAGGTGGTAGTCAAGCCGGTTGAGGTGCATGTTTGGATTTCTGAAGTTAGGGCCTGAGCGCGGGACCAGATTAAGCTCGGGCACTGTAGCTCAGTGTTCTGCTCTTTCTCTGCTTCTTGAAGCTCCTCTACCTCTCTTGTATACTCTGGATCATTGATGACTGGAGAGGCAGCAGCAGATA